TTATTTTCTATACAAGTGTTTTTTGTAAGCTGCTGGAAATCCAATTTCCTTGCGGGAGTCATCCCAAAGGGATCAATAAAGAGAAGTCTAAGAGTCTAAGTCTGTAAGTCTAGTGTGATGTTTTATTAAAACAATACTAACTGAATGGACACATTTTCCTTACTGTTTATAGATTGGATCGACTCAAAGTACTTTTTAAATTCAATTCTAAAAGGTTCACACGATAGACGGGACCTCGAGAACTTGGCTCAATGGATGTGATATTTACTTTTTGAAAATTCTATGAATTTATTATTATTTTCATAGTATAGTATTACATCATTGATTTCTAGTTTAATTGAATAGTTGGTTTGAGTAACAAAATTTCCCAGAATCCTGATGTGTACCGACAATCAAAGAATAGATGTTTAATTGTCTCATCTTCATTTTTATAAAGTCTATTATCGATATCCACAAATTTTGACACAAAGTTGTTGGTGGGGGAAATATTATGCACAATTTTGTAATGTGTTTCTTTCACTTTGTTGGGTATACCACACTTATTTGGGAGAAGCCATGTTGTTTCCCAGTGAATATTAGAAAAATGACCACACAGGGGTGCCTTTCTCCTCCTGCAGTGGTGGCCAAGTTTTTAGATCATTTGCTACTAATACAAATATATTCAGACAAGTATTATCAGCAAAATGTATATAAGTTCCTTTCTTATAGGCTGCGTACATTTTTGAATTGGTATTATAAGTATAATTGTGACATACCTTACTTGTATTTCTATTTTCTGCTAGTTTATACTTCTCCAGTACAGTTCAGTGGAAAATATTGTACATTTTGCCCCAATAAATTATTTGATAACTTTAGTGACTAGTTATTTAGACGATTCAAATAAAATATAAATATAATCACCATATAACCGATGATTATAGGTTAAAATAAGATCAGACAGCAGTGTATTTACCATTCAGTTAAATTGATAAACACACATAAAATGTTATTGTGAAATGAGCCTTTCTGTATAATGAGTACTTTTACTTTTGGTACTTTATTTTGATGCTGATCATTTTGTAATTTTACTCAAGTAAAATTTAGAATCTATTCACTCTTCTATGTTGTGGTATTGCTACTTCAGTAAATGATTTGAGTACTGAGTGGAGGAAAATGTCTAGGAGAATAAAATGGACACATACTTTAAAATCTTTGAAAGTGTACATAAGTATTATACTTTAGTAAATGTATCCGCATATTTTACATTAGATATTGTCTAAACAAAATCCAAAAGAATTGATGATCGATTTCCGTAAAAAGTCTTTATTTTGTACACAAGATTCAATTAATTTCTGTGCTGATGAGGATGTATACAGTCTGACAAACCAGTGCATTACAATGAAGACTTCACAGCAGTGTAAGAGGCTGGGGTGGAGCTCATAACTCTCACTTTGAGCCTTACTCTCTCTCTCAGGGAGCTGATGGAGGCGGACATCTGAGAAATTAATCCCATACCACCTCAATCGAACAAAGAGAGACTCATGACTCCTCCCTCGTGCATAAGCCTGACGTAGCCATACAATCTTAAAATGACTATCAGTTACACATTCTGTACAAACAATTTATTACATGTGCTTCATGTCAACAGTGGAGAGCGAGAGCTGAGCAGTATTTAAATATTCAAAAGCTGCCTCTTCTTCTTGCTGTCTTCCCTCAGCTTTATTGTATGGCAGTGAGGGAAAAAGTCGAGAAAGAGGCAGAAACTCAGTCTCCCCAATATACAATATAATCTCTTTTAACATGTTGTGTAGCTGTGCAACTTCTGGAAACAAAAACAAGACAGAAAACCTGAAAGAATAACTTTGTAAGGTACTGTGTACCGCATCAGGGGAGACACTGAGCCTGCAGTATGCTAACGCTTTGTGTACATGTTGTAGTTTTTCGACAGTACAAACCACCGACCAATGAATCCCATTTACTATATGGCAACTGCTGGTGAATGGTGACATATATATTTCAACATTGGAAGAATTTTTACTTTCAATTTTGCAAATTAAAAGGTTCAAATCAAAATATGCTACAGTCGTATCTCGTCTCAATCATGTTAAAGCCTCTGCATTCAAAACACAGTCACTCACCAGGCTTGAAACATCACGTTCAATCCAATAAACCCCAAAATAGTGGATACAAACCCTCATCTTCGTGTATATTTTCAGTACAGAATAGTTATACTTTCATTTTCTCATCAAAATGTAACAATATTTACATATTTGCATCAGCTTTAAAATTGAGAGATAGGCCAGATCATTTTCTTATGTCAAATGTTAATGTCATCATTCATGATACTTGTAGCACCTGAGCAAGATCCTCTTCTCTTATCACAAAAAAAACCATCTCTTAAATTACATGAATTATAGCAAACACAATTATGTACATTAATAAGCTTTACATTTTTGAGCAGTTACTTATATTTACAGTACAATCAAAGTTTTGGATTTTGAAGGCACAGCTTTCTGTATCCCTCTGTAACCAAGGTGATGCTAATGACAAACATTTAACATCAGAGTTGGGACAAGCCTGTTTTGTTTTTCAATCGGTTAACTAAGATTTAAAGTATTTAGAAAAATAAAAGCATACAGACTGCACCTTTGCTGAAAAAAAAAATTCTTGTGTTCAGCTCAGTGTCTTTAGCCATCATTTTGAAATTAAGGATGTGCCATGTTATATTGTTAAAAAAATTCAGCAAATACCAAACAAAAAACTAAATGCGCTAAAATGCGAAAAAGGTACAGTGTTTCATAAAACTAATCAAAGCACATGAGCTTTAAAACAAGAGTCTAAGCTATCATACAGACATGTAAAGTTCACATATTGTATGCCTCACACGCAAATAGACCTTTGGACATTGATGCTGTAATGACATAGAAAGTATGTGAGGTGGCTTAGGCGACATTGGATGTTTATACCGAAAAAAACCTGAGTACTTTTTTCCTCTAAAGCTGGAGTGCAGCTGTTGTAGCTCTGAAGGTTTTGTAAAACTGCTGTATGTAATACAGATATATGCTACTTTGCCGACAGATGCCTGGTAAGTGATGGGTTCTTCCTCCTCCCCGGCTCCTCTTCTTGAATGCTTGACTGACCTGATGTATACTGTATATCTGCAAGGAAGAAGCTGATCTAGAACAAATAGTATTTGCAAATACTTAAGGTTTACAATTAGCGCCAACAACTTTATGCAATTGAAAGGAAATGTCTGGCTAAGCACTCTCTTTGTATGAGACCATCAGTGTTACAACCTAGTGATGATCAGAGGACAAGGGTTGGGAAGTATTTGCAAACATTATTTGAACCAGGCTTGCACCGGAAAACAGTGAATTGGTAATGGTGTTTTCCAGGTTGTCGCCATGTCGTAGCACTGAGGTGTCTGTGGGTCTTATGGCGTCTCCTCCGACTGTTTATTTAAAACTCTTTGTGAGACCTCATGGCTCTGGAAGCAGTTGGTCACAGGGCTGCTTGCTACTGGATATGTGGACACCTCAGTCCATCATGTCCTCCTTTGAGTAGTCCCTGGATTTTCTCTTGAAGAAGCCCAGCTGGAGGAGCAGAAAGCTCAGTTATAAAACTGCCTAGTGAAACAGTTACTCTGTATAGATGTGAATCAGCGTCTAGAGTAAAGGACTAGTTCGACATTCGAGGAGATATTCTTGTTGAGAGTTACTGTGGATGAGAAGATCAATACTACTTTCATGTCTGTCTGTGAAATATAAAAATACAGCTAGTTAGGTTAGCTTAGCTTAGCATCAAGACTGGACACTGCTAGCCTCTAGGCTCTGTCCACTAAAAGTAATTTATGTTATATGCCATTTGTTTCATTACAAAAACAAAGATTCCTGGGTGTTAAGCCACCAAAAAGAAAACACGAAGACAAAAAGAAAAGTCACAGAGGTCGGCCCTAAGATAATATATGAAGCCAAAACCATGATGC